ATTTTTTATAAAAGTTTAATTAAGTATGTGAAAAATTGGTTAATTTATTAAACAAAATTGAGGATATTTTGTTGTACTTTCTTTTTTAAAACACCACAGCTTCCAGTGAATGTCTTGTACTGGAAAACCAATCAATCAACTAATGTTAACAATTTTAAGTGAGTGGCATACCAAAGATGTAAACAGGCATGGACAATTTAAATTTTTGAAGTAGTACTACTTTTAGGAATTTAAAGTACTGGCCTATTTTTCCGCTAGACTATAGACTGGTCTGTAGACTAGACTTTAGATTAGACTGTAGACTAGACTATAGACTTGACTATAGACTTGACTATAGACTAGACTATAGACTAGACTATATACTAGACTATAGACTAGACTATAGACTAGACTATAGACTTGACTATAGACTAGACTATAGACTAGACTATGGACTAGACTGTAGACTAGACTATAGACTAGACTATAGACTAGACTATAGACTAGACTATAGACTAGACTATAGACTAGACTATAGACTAGACTATAGACTAGACTATAGACTAGACTATAGACTAGACTATAGACTAGACTATAGACTAGACTATAGACTAGACTATAGACTAGACTATAGACTAGACTATAGACTAGACTATAGACTAGACTATAGACTAGACTATAGACTAGACTATAGACTAGACTATAGACTAGACTATAGACTAGACTATAGACTAGACTATAGACTAGACTATAGACTAGACTATAGACTAGACTATAGACTAGACTATAGACTAGACTATAGACTAGACTATAGACAAGACTATAGACTAGACTATAGACTAGACTATAGACTAGACTATAGACTAGACTATAGACTAGACTATAGACTAGACTATAGACTAGACTATAGACTAGACTATAGACTAACTAGACTAAGACTAGACTACTATAGACTAGACTATAGACTAAACTTTAAACTATACTTTAGACTAAACTAAAGCTAAACTATAGACTAGACCAGACTATAGACTATACTGTAGACTAGACTAAAGACTTGGTTATAGATTAGACTATAGACTTTACTATCTGACTAAAGCTAAGGTTTTCTGAAAAAAAAAACTCTAATTTATAACATTAAAATATCACTGCCATTAGACCCCCTAGCAATTGCATTCTAGAAACTATAAAAAAATCAGCTAAATATCACGTTCTTAACGCGTTTCAAATATATACATTTGCACTCTTTCCTAACGTGTTTATTTAATAGTTGTTTTAAAAATAAACAAAGATATTTTATTATTTCTTTCCATCATTATATGTACTCCGGTTCCTAACGTCAGTCATCATCAAACGTTTAACGATCATTCGTTTCGGTCTCTCCTTATATCAGATAATAATTTCTTATCGATTTTAAAATTCATAGCTGTTTCTTTCAAACACAAATTTTGAACTCAGCTGTTTCAGCATGTGCTCGAGCTGTGTATGGCTATGTCTGAACTTATAAGAAATTTTGTTTGTATTTGTCTGATCTCCATAAACAGCGTGTTCAGTAGCGTGCTTTTCTAGCCAAACAGCAACAAATTTAACATGTTAGGCGAACGCTTCAATAAAAACGTCTTTGCAATTTTTGTTTTTAATTTAATTTCATTTTTTTTATTATCAATTCAAGTTTATCATAAAATTTCGGAAAAAAAAACAAACGTATTTATTTTGTATATTTTGTTTTGCTATTTCAATTTGTTTGCAAAAAATTATACTCTAATAAATTTGTTTTTGTAATTTTTTATAAATAAATTTTGTTTGCTAAAAAACTGATAACATAGATTTTGTAGTATAACTATTTTGTTGTTGTTTTTTTTTTTTCGAAAAATATAAAAAAATATATAGAATTAAATGTTTCATAATTTATCTTATCAAATTTAATGGCAAATAATAACATCATTGATTATTTGTAAAGATTCTTAAATATATACATTTTTTTTGCTTAATATCTTGGCAACAACAAGCTGTTCTAATTAATAATTATTATAAAAAAGGTTTTAACATTTATCTTGAGTAATTTATTTAATTAATAACTGAACTATGTTTTTTTCTAGATAATTTCTATTTGTTTTATTAATATGAATTATTTTTTCTTATGATTCACTTTATTGGAAATTCTTTTAAGATTTATAGAATATATTTTCTATATGTATTTACTTTTATTTTTTTTTTATTCGCAAAAAACTTTGGAACTTGACACACCTTCTTTTGGTATTTTCTTTATCAATTTTTCTGCTTCTTTTATTTATTTTTTTCCTATTGTGGTCAAAGTTTAATATTTTTGGTTTATTTTAGGCTTTTGATGGTTATTTTTAACATTTTATAGATTAAACAATCATTTTAACTGTTGTTTAGTTATTTCCTTAGTATTTATAAGAGACGTGACAGTATTTAATATTTTATTTGTAATTTTTTTATTTTATTAACAAGGGGGATTAACAATTTTTTTATATAAATATTTATATTTTTATAAAAATATATAATTATTAAACTGTTTCAGTGTAGGAGTAAAAATTCCAAGAAAAAAATTAATAAAGAATCAATTATTTTATAGAACTTTGTGGAAGAGTAAAAAGAAGTTTTAATGGAGTTAACATCTACAAGATATTCTTGTTTGGATATGTATTTCATAGAATTCTCTTTTGTTTAAAATTTTTATGTATAAAATCAGCAAAAACTTTTAAAAAGAATCATTACAGTAAATTTTTAAGTTTTTTTCGGGAATATTCCTGGAATTTTCTTGTAATAGAAACTTAACGGAATTTCCTTATAACAAAGTGAGGCATATTTTAGGAATGTTTAAAAAACCGAGTATAATATAATAGAAGAGATTACTTAAAATATGGAGATACATATATATACATAACAGGATCTCTTAAAAATATTCCTGATCTTTTATTTATAAAAAATATTATATTTATATTAAATTTTGAAAATATTCGAGAATATTCCTAGAATTTTAGATTAAGAGGAATTTCTATGAACCAAAGAGAAGCATAACTTAATGCTATTATAAAACAGTTAACAACATCTCTTAATAATCCTTGTTTCCTAAGATAATAAAAATATAGAAAATTCTCAATTCTTTCATTTCCTAAGATAATAAAAATATAGAAAAATTATAAATTCTTTCTAGAATATTCCTCAAATTTTGCTTTATCTTAAGGCCAAGAAAGAAAAGCTAGAAAGTTAGTGAATCAGTTTAGATAAGAAGTTAAGATAAAACAGAAAAAAAAACATTCCTAAACTTTTATTTATAAAAATATATATATGTATTTATAAAAATACTCTAGAATATTCCTGGAATTTTTAAATTTACAGAAATTTTTATGAATTAAAGCATTGCATACCTTGAGGCTATTATAAAACAGTTAACAAAATGAACTTAAGTGAAATCAGAATAATCATTGTTTTTAAAGATAATAAAAATATAAACAGTTTGTAAATTCTTTCGAGAATATTCTTCAAATCCAATTAGTTAATCGTAGTTTTGGGATGTTATAGAAGATAAATTGCTTTGGGTATACGAAGACAGATATCAAAATTCTTTAAAAATGTATTCCAAAATTATTATTTTTTAATATTTTCTATTTATCGTGAATATTCCCAGAATTTTGTTTTAATCAAGTGAAACATACTTTAAGGCTATTATATAAATGAAGGCAATTATAAATTTAATTTGAAAATAATCTGAATAGTGTTTAATTTATACAGTAAAATTGACATATTTGAAAGTTTGAAAATTTTTCAAGAATATTCCCAGAATTTTGCTTTAATAACAAACATCCAGCTTAACTTATAAGGCTCAGACTGGTGTAAAAAGAGACTTATGCAAAAAGAAGACAAAAAAAAAAACAAAATATTAACATATTTGGAATTTTGAAAAAAATTCGAGAATATTCCCAGAACTTTTTAATAATAAGAAACTTTTTTATATTTGAGTGTAACAAAGAAAAGCATATTTGTAGGCTGCAATTAAAGAGAGACTTAAACACCCTAAAAACAACAACAACTCATTAACACTTAATTTATAACATTTATTTATTTACTTATTAATCATATAAAAAACTAAATAATTAACTTTAAAATACAAAAAAAAAATATGTAAATTTTTGCATGACACTGCAATTGAAAAAAATACAATAATTACTACGATTTAAAAAAAAACTGCACGAAAAAATGCAACCAAGCGAATCTACAATTTGTTTTTGCAAATATAAAACGAAAAGAGAAAAATTGCAATAAAATAAAAGCAGAAAAAGTAGTAGTAAAAATGCAATAACAACAATAACACACAATAATTACTACAAATAAGAAAAATGCCGGTTTTAGTAAAAAAACGTCAAACTTGTTGTTTTTGTAAAACGACAGATCTTCAATGAAAACACAAAAACAAAGATAAAAGCAAAGAAAACAAATATAAAAGAAACTAACTCTTTAAACAAATTAAAGAGCTTTTTTATTGTAGTTTTAAGAGTACTAATGAAACTATGTTAAATTAACATTTAAAATTGCACTGTTAAGTGCAGTGTTAAATGCAGTTTAATTTGAAGAGTGAATGCAAATGTTTGCTCTTTATTTTAGCAATTTATCAAAGAATTAAAATTGTGAATGCAGTTTAAGAGAATGCATTTCAAATTGAGTGCAATCTTTTACTAAAAGAGTTTAAGGTTTGAGTTTTTTTTACTCTATTGCAATTTATCAAAGAATTGCAATTTTATCTTAAAAAAATTTTTTGCAATTATATTTGTTGCTTTTTGCAATACGTAATAGTGTGGGTTGCTGGTAATTTATAAAAGAATATAAAAAAATATATAAAAAATCACGTGCTTTGTTTGCTGACAACAAAAAGTGTAAAATGCAAACAGTAAAATAAAGCAGTATATAATTTTTTTCAACAAAAATAAAATCTTTTCAAAAAAAAAAAGAAGAAAAAAATTCTATAATTTGTGCGCGTTTTTTTTTCGGTAAAATTTTAGTAACTTGGAGAAAAAGCATGAAATTTATACTTTACAACAATACGAAGAATCGCAAAAACTTAAAATTGAAGAAAAACCTCTTGATAACATACCAACGGAAGGTTTAATTGAAAATAAACCCCAAAAGGAGGAAATCAAAGATCTAATAGAACCAACAGAAGAAAAATTATTTGCTAATTCGGATTTAAAATTAACAAAAGAAGCCGTAATACTAAATAAACTAGAAACAGCAACAACAACTACGCCACTCAATAACAATAATAATTTAAAATCAAACAATAATAAACAAAATAATTTAAAAGAAGAAATCATTAATGTTAAACCGTTTATCAAACAAGAACAAATACCACCAATTGTTTTAAATAACAACAATAATAATAAAACTAGCCCCTTAAATACTACTGCTACTTCTACTCCCAACGCTGCAGTAGCAACTCCCTTATTACCACCACCAAACCACTGTCCCACCACTACTGTTACCCATACAGTTTTTAATAAATCTAAACCAACTAGCGGTGGTCCCAAAACCGTTACTTCTTCGTTGATTTTAACCAATTTACCCACTACCACATCGACTCAATCGATTTTACAACAACAACAACAACATCAAACTTTGAATGTTGCCAACAACAATAATACGCGTGCCACGCCCCAATCTGTAACAGCTTCGGTATTTTCACCTTTACCGCCTACAAAATTACCTTCGACTACAGCTACAGCTGCTATTTTAGCTCAACAACAACCACAGCAGCAGCAACAACAACAACAACAATCGGGAGGTGGACAACTAACGGCTAACGCGAATCATCCACAAGATATGAATAAAGGATATTTATCATTTGCCGAGGATGCCACAGAATTAACAAGTAAGTGCTGAAATTTTTTTTACAACTTATTTTATTTTTATAAATTTTTATTGGGTGTTAAAAGTTTTTGTTTTTGTAAGGAATCGGGGGGGAAATTAAGATAATTTTTTTATATTGCCGTAATATTTTCGAATATCTGACGATTAGTAATATTTTTAATAAATTTTCAATTTCTGCAAGACTATAGTCTGCACTATAGACAAGCTTATAGTATGGACTGTAGACAAGCCTATAGTCTGGACCATAGACAAGACCATAAACTATAGACAAGGCTGGATTATAGACAAGACTATAGTTTAGCATATGGGCAAGACTATAGTCTAAACTATAGAAAATACTATAAACTGGACTATAGACAATACTATAATCTGGACTATAGACAAGACTATAATCTGCACTATAGACAAGGCTATAGTCTTTACTATAGGCAACAATAAAGTCATGACTCTAGTCTGAACTATAGGCTATACTATACACAAGATTATAGTCTGGACTATAGACAAGACCATAGTCTAAACTATAGCCTAAACTATAAACAAGACCCTAGTCTGAACTATAAACAAGACTATAGTCTGAACTATAGACAAGATTATAGTCTGGATTATAGACAATACGATAGTCCGGACTATAGACAAGACGATAGTCCGGACTATAGACAAGATGACAGTCCGGACTATAGACAAGACTTTAGTACGGACTATAGATAAGACTATATATAAACTATAGTCTCGATTATAGACAAGACTATAGTCTGGACAATAGACAAGACTATAGTCTTAACTATAGACAAGACTATAGTCCGGACTATAGAAAAGACTATAGTCCGGACTATAGACAAGACTATAGTCTGGACTATAGACAAGACTAAAGTCTGGATTATAGACTGCATTATAATTGTATACCTCTCTTTTTGACATTTTACAATTTTTGTCGGCCTGTGTTATAGATAATTTCAAATATGTTTTGACTTTATCAGCAAAGGAAATGAGTCCACGTCCTTGCAATTAGCAAAAAATAACGCGATCACGACCTTCTTTGTCCACAAACTAAAAAAACAAATTTAAACTATTTTATATAAAATTAAAAGCAAACAATATAAATTCAATATTTTTCTAAAGTTTAGGCCCAAATAGACCACAAAAATAATCTTTTACGAGTGTACAATTTTTTAAGTAAACAACCGATAACTAAGACTACGATTACAAAAACAAAGAAACTATCCATATGGAATTTAGATAAAAAAACAACTGCTAATGGCCAAATACAATAAAACCTACTTATAGTTTTTGTTTTTGCCAACAAAACGACCATTAATAATAATAAAGATAATGTTTTTTATAATAAAAACTCATTTAAAAAACATTACAAGTATGATAAGGAACGAAGAACAATCATATAAATTATAATGTAAATAATAGAAAAACAAATCTCATAAAACCATTTTAAGACCCACATTAGGAAAGTCCTGACTTTCTTTACTTCTCCCCTAACTTCTAACAACATCTGCACTCCTGTTGCCAAATCAAATGACAATAATTTGATATTATAATATAAATTAAACAATAAAATCCAATTATTTATTTTAATATACATATAACAACTAAATAGCAAAAACTATAGTGACAAAAATAAACTTAAAACAAAGCAAATTTCAAAATAGTTAACGATTTATTTGCGGTTTTATTCAGTTGTAAAAATAAAAAAAAAAATTAAACGAAACACCAACTAGCAAAAATGTAACTGACAGCAGCAGTAGCAGTGGAAAATCTAAAACCACAATTTGAAAATGTTTTTTTTTTTCTAGATTAAAAATAAAATCATGATAATAATCTGTATTGATAATTGAACTGATTGATGTCTTTTTTTAGATCAAGGCTATAGACAGACCCTTTTATTGTAAAGGGAGCAGGGTATCTAGGAAAAATATTGGTTGGTAATTTTATCTGATAAACAACCATCAAATTACTGACATCTCATAGACATTGCAAAAATAAAATAAATTTATTTGTTTATCTAATTTTAATATTATTTGCAGTGATTTATTGTTAATTTTAGATAAATGTGTGGGGGTTTTCTACATGAAATATTCAATATTATTAGACAAAACTATAGTCTTTTCTGTAGTATTGACTATAGCCTGGACTATAGAGAAGACTATAATCTTGAGGCCTTGATTTGTACTACAGTCTGGACTATAGACAAGACTATAGTCTGGACTATAGACAAGACTATAGTCTGGACTATAGACAAGACTATAGTCTGGACTATAGACAAGACTATAGTCTGGACTATAGACAAGACTATAGTCTGGACTATAGACAAGACTATAGTCTGGACTATAGACAAGACTATAGTCTGGACTATAGACAAGACTATAGTCTGGACTATAGACAAGACTATAGTCTAGACTATAGATAAGACTATAGTCTGGACTATAGACAAGACTATAGTCTGGACTATAGACAAGACTATAGTCTGGACTATAGACAAGACTATAGTCTGGACTATAGACAAGACTATAGTCTGGACTATAGACAAGACTATAGTCTGGACTATAGACAAGACTATAGTCTGGACTATAGACAAGACTATAGTCTGGACTATAGACAAGACTATAGTCTGGACTATAGACAAGACTATAGTCTGGACTATAGACAAGACTATAGTCTGGACTATAGACAAGACTATAGTCTAGACTATAGATAAGACTATAGTCTGGACTATAGACAAGACTATAGTCTGGACTATAGACAAGACTATAGACAAGACTATAGTCTGGACTATAGACAAGACTATAGTCTGGACTATAGACAAGACTATAGTCTGGACTATAGACAAGACTATAGTCTGGACTATAGACAAGACTATAGTCTGGACTATAGACAAGACTATAGTCTGGACTATAGACAAGACTATAGTCTGGACTATAGACAAGACTATAGTCTGGACTATAGACAAGACTATAGTCTGGACTAAAGACAAGACTATAGTCTGGACTATAGACAAGACTATAGTCTGGACTATAGACAAGACTATAGACTGGACTAAAGACAAGACTATAGTCTGGACTAAAGACAAGACTATAGTCTGGACTATAGACAAGACTATAGTCTGGACTATAGACAAGACTATAGTCTGGACTATAGACAAGACTATAGTCTGGACTATAGACAAGACTATAGTCTGGACTATAGACAAGACTATAGTCTGGACTATAGACAAGACTATAGTCTGGACTATAGACAAGACTATAGTCTGGACTATAGACAAGACTATAGTCTGTACTATAGACAAGACTATAGTCTGGACTATAGACAAGACTATAGTCTGGACTACAGACAAGACTATAGTCTGGACTATAGACAAGACTATAGTCTGGACTATAGACAAGACTATAGTCTGGACTATAGACAAGACTGGACTAAAGTCTGGACTATAGACTAGACTTTAGTTTGGACACTATACAAGGCTATATTATGATCAATAGAAAGACTAAAATCTGGATTTAAGACTAGACTGAAATCTAGACTATATAGAATACTATATTCTAGACTATACTATTGTTAAAAAAAACCCATAATTGTCACCACATGACAAATTGAAAAAATTACCAAAAATAGCAAACAAACGAATTGATTTACTCTCCATAATTACTTTAAAATTTAATAATTATTTGCCATAAATAAAACTATTTTGTTACAATAAATCATGAGATTAAACTAAAATATTTGCTTTAAATGCACTTTTTTACAATTCTAAATAATTACTGATAAATATTTATTTTAAAGTCTAATCATTAGCTTTATTAATTATCAAATATTGTACATTTTCTAAAATAACAAAAAACTAGTTTTAACTAAATAAACTAAAATACCGCATACAGCAAAATGTAATAAAAAAAACTATATACAGATGGTCAACGCTAAATATTTGCAATAAACAAAACTTAGAAAAACGTCAATTTATTGAAAAATAAATAGAATTAAATATATAGTACATATTTAGTTTTCGTTTAACGTATAGAGAAATGGCCTTGATCGTTATGCACTTTAAAACGGCTAATGCACTTCAAAAAAAAAATATATTAGAAAATATTGACAATACAGTGTGAGGCAAAAGTTGTTTAACACTAATAAATTTGAATAAATTAACATTTTATAATTAATTGCATTAGGGTTTTCATTAGTTTTTCTATTTTTTTTTATTTTTTTTTTTTGTCACCCACTGTTGGTTGACGTTTGTTAGTATGATTGCATGAAAAATGCATAACAGTTTGTTTATTTTTTCTGTCTGTCTCTAAGCATTTTTGTTACTAAATTATTAAGTTCAAAATGTTATTTCTAAAAAAAAAACTTATCAGTATTCAATTGAAAATTAACTGCAAAAATATTAAACTAATAATATATTTTTTTAAATATATAATTTGCTATAAAAAAAGATTAAATCAAGCTTTGCAAATTAAAAATAAAACTAATTATAATGATCATGTAACAAATTTTTTTAATTTGTCTTTATATTGACATAAACAAATAAATAAATTTTACGCTTGATGTATTTAAATTTTAAAAAATAAGTTTAAATCAAGCTTAAAATAGTATTTTTGTCTAACAAAAATTTATAATTAACGTAAAAATGTAATAAAATACGTTTAAATTGTAATGGGGTTTCTTACAACTTCACTGAACTGTATAGACACTAAATTTTCCAAGACCAAAGCTTTAGCTTAATTAAAAGTTAATTATATAGTTTAAGTTTTAGTCTAAAGCTTAAACTATATGATTTCAAAGGCAAGGCTCTGGAGTAAGCGCTTTGATATAGTCTATAGACAAAGTTCTCCACTAGCAGATAATGAAAGCTAGAAACAAATCTTTAGTAAAAGCTTTTAAGTGGAATATAGTTAAAGCTATAGTTTATATCAAAAGCTTCGATTAATCATAGCTTTGGACTATACTATAGTAAAAAATTTTCGATTAGTTTATAGCCTAAGTATTCAACCACTT